AATTGTATACTAATTAAAAAATTAAAGAAAAAATTGGGTTTTGATTTTTGATTTTATTTCAATAAATGATATAATAGAATATGAATTTTGGTTATAAAATTTTAAATATTTGATATTCTATCTCTAATTAGAGTATTTTTTTATCTAAGTAGAATATTTTAAACTTGAGAGATTTAAATATATACTTAAAAATTTTGGCGGGTATGAGTATAATTTATTAATCGATAGACTAACGAACATTTTATGGCAGGAGTCTTAAGTGTTACACGTATACTAATCTTAAGTGATCTATATATAATATTTAAAATATCAGGGGTCTAAGTGATTAAATGACAAATTTCAAGGGGTCTCAATATAGCCCCTATACTTTGAGGCGGCAGTGAAATACCCCTCTACTTTTAAAAATTATAAAACAAGAATATCATAATTTAATAAATAAATTAAAATAAAAAATAAAATTTCATGCACAAATATGTGAAAATTTATTATATTTTGAACTATATTTTGTCTGAAAATGACAATTATAATTTATAAGGTTAATTGCAAAATCACTCTTGTACTTAAGCACGGAAGTAAATGACTCGACTTAACTTTAAACTTTTGTACTAAAATTCCTTGAACTTATGACCAAATTGTAAAAGTGGATGTCTATCACATAACTCGTAAAAATACCAAAATACTATTACTATTTTATTCAATGTTCATATAAATGTCATCACTTAATCTAAACACCATCTCTACTTCTCCCTCTCCCATTTGGGTATCTTTTTTTTCTCTCCTTCCCTTCTCCCATACCCAAGTCTCTTTCTTTCCTTTCTCTTTGAATTTTTTTCTACTCTTTCCGTCCAATTCTTTTTTTTTTTTTGAAAAGCTTTCTCCTCCTTTTTATTCCTTCTATATTTATTAATGTGCTTCCTTCATGACTCACTACTCAACTTCCAAGTTGTGTACACATAACCACGCATAACCCATATGTATCTCTATTTAGCTACTACCTCCACCTTCTTAGTTTTGTTTTTTGTTTATAATTCATAATAAAAATCAACACCCTTGAAAATTCCACCCTTTATATATTTAATTGTTTTCAAGAGAGTCTCTTTTTATATAAGTTTATATTTATTTATTGGATGGGGGCATTACTCTCGCTCTCTCCCCTTTCCCCTCTCATCTCATGGTAACCGACAATGATGCTTATACATAGCAAGAGTTTCTCAACAGTGAAGACCAAACAACAAAACACGATCATTTGAATAAGACCAATATTCTATATACATGTATTTCTAAAATTTGGAAGGTTTTCAAATAGGGATACTTTTTGGAGTAATATACGTGTTGCCAACAAGCACCAATGTTTGCGATACAAGACATATGCTGATTACTTAAAGGAGTTGAAGTGAAAATTCTCACATCGTGACCCATGACAAAAATTCTTCCTATCAAATTTGCTAATCCCAAAGCTAAAATATTCACTGAAATACCATACAAACACAAATCAATGACCAATATACATACAAACCTTTGGGACTCAAAGTTAACTGGTAGTTGATAAAACAGTATACGCTCAACAAACTTGTAACACGAAAGACAAAAGCAGTCATTTTTTGGTAACTCCTATGTAACCATTTTTTGGTAATCCATGAGCTCACCTGCAGCAATTATGGGTTCAAACTCCACAAGACGCCCTACTCTGTTCACTTCTATTACCCAATCAATGAAACCCAAAACAACCAAGGATGAGCAATTTAAGATCATAATGATAAACTACATCCAATTAAAATAAAAGATCATTCTAAGGTTCAACCTCCATTAATTTTTTTTTGTTGTGTCTGTGGACAAAGCTCTAGAGGTTACATAGGAGTTATATCTACATCTTCAAATATTTGCATTGCAGCAGAATTTGGAGAAAACCCCACGATTTTCTGTTGAGCAAAAAATTGTCTTTTTCAATTACCCTTATACAGATGTTGTCACATCTATACCCAAATGCTACTTGAAATTGACATAGAAAAAGGGAGGATGAGAAGGAGGAGAAAAAGAAAGAGTTAGTAGACGAAGAAAAAGAATGAGAAAGAGGAGGAGAAGAAGAAAGAAGAGAGCGGAGGAAGGAGGAGAAAAAGCAAAAGGAGGGAGGAGAAGGAGAAAAAGAATAAGGAGGAAAAAAGAGAGGAGAAAAAGAAGAAGGAGGACATCTCGATCACCAAACCACCATCACACCATTATCAAATCTATAAGGATATCTTCATTCATTACTCAAAATCAAATTCAAACTTAAATTTGAATAAAAAATGTACAAAAATTATCATTAATCTTTTGACTCAAACTTATATTAAATGAAGGAAAACTTTTTTTTTTACTCAAATTGAGGAAATATCAAATCTTTTACTCGAAATTTTGAGTCAAAATAGACATTCTATAACATCTCTGTTTCGACAATTTCCGGATTTTCTACGCTTTGGAAACTCATTCTCTGTTGTCTGCAAACTTACATAATTGTTTGATTTTGCTTATTCTATACCATCTGTGTTCGACTTCTTTTTCAAGTTATTGAAACCCAACAAATTGACGAGTAAGTCGTCTAAATTTTGCATCAATAGTAATAATTATGATTTTTTTTAAAAAAAATTAAATTTTATTTTAAATTCTATTTCAATAAGTGACACAATAGAACATGAATTTTGATTATAAAATTTAAAATATTTGATATTTTATCTTTAATTAAAATATTTTTAATTTAAGTGTAATATTTTAAACTTGAAGACTCAAGTTTTACTGTTACACACGTTTTTAAATTTTATTTGAAGATATAAGCGTAATTTATTAATGTAACAAATTTAACCGTTACAGTACAAATCTGTTCACTCAGCTCTCTCTCTCTATTTAAAGCCTTCGGTAGTCTCATTAATTGCAAAATCTGTGCATTAATATCTCTCTCTCTCCCTCTCAATTTAAATCCCTTCGGTAGGCTCCTTAATTTCCAAATCTGTGCATTAATCTCCCGCTCCCTCTGTCTCTCTCAACCCTCACCCGAAAACGCTCGCCCAGAGACGGTGTCGCCTAGTTTCCAAATCTATAAGTCTCCACGCTTTCTTTTTCACCGCCTCTCTTCTTTCTGCAACTCTCTCTCAACCTCCAGCCGAAAACCCCCATCCCATAAACTCTCTCCCCCGAAAACACCCCATCCCATACACTCTCTCTTTCTCCCCTGAAAACACCCCATCCCATACACTCTCTGTTTCTCCCCTGAAAACACCCCACCCATAAACTTTGGCCAAAATCGATTGGATGGGGACTAAATTTGGGAACATTCATGCTTCGGGATCACAATGTTACGAGTTGCAACATATGATGAAGGTTTGTAATGAGTTTGTTCAAAACTTTTCCAAATCTGTAACATGCCATCCAGTGCCTCCAGGTTTGAATTCTTTAATCTGATTCAATCTCTCTCTCTCTCTCTCTCTCTCTGTGGCCGACTCTTGTTTTCGCGTTTGAAATATGATTGGAAGTCAAAAACAGAGCATCACCGTGATTCCGACGGAAGGCAAATAGCGGATTTGTGGTTGTCAACGTACATGTATAAATCATTAGATTCATAGAATTTTCGTTACATGATTTTCGCAGATTCGTTTTTGTTCCCTGTTTCTGATTTATTTTTCTATTTTCACATTGTCTTCATAATTTATCATACTATTATGTTTATAATTCTTTGTTACCCAGTAACTACATAAATCCCTTTATTTTATTTTTTCCTTCTTATTTTCGGAACTCGATATTATTATGAATGATGAACAGCCGTTATATTTGGAATGAGAAATACTGATTTCAATGGCCGCCAAGAATGTGATTGAAGACTTGAATATGATTACACACACATGGCAAAACTACTGAAACCCTTTAGTTTCTAAAATACAATTATTGTAGTTATTTATGTGTTTTTTCTAGTATTTTTTGGTTTGGCCTTATTGAGTGTCACGGAGGACGATATTGTGTGATTGACTTTCTTTCTTTTGGTTAGAGTTTTTTTCCATGGATTTTCTCTCAATTGCTGTTGATTCTGCCCTATGATGCTTTAGTAATATTGTGGATGTGCTGAAATGGATTGCAGCAATTCCGATTGAATTACTTATGCTCGATTTTTTTTTTTTTTTAAAACTGCACAGTGTAAATTTTGTAACTACAGTTTGAATTTGGCTACTGAGCTAGTTGTAGAAATTCCAACCTCGAAGGTTTTTTGATATGCAATTCAACAATGTTTGGTGCTATTTATGATTTTCCTGTTTGAGCAACGGTCAAACTTGAAAATCTTGTTTAATTGATGATGTTGCATATGCATTGCAACGCAATTTCATTACAGAATTTTAGCCTGTGATTAATCCTGCCGCCCATGTTCTTGTGTCTGGAATTGCAGATTTTGCCCATCAAAATTAAAAGGCTTGGAGGAAGTGTAGCGACATTAGCCAACTGGTTCAGTTCCTGGGTGATTATGATGACTGCACCCTTGCTCTTGTCTTGAAGCAGTGGAGGTTTGCCCCTCTCTCTCTCTCTCTCTCTCTATCAGCTGTTGTATAAATGGTTTAGCATTGACTTATTGCTAGTGTTCTTATAAACAGTCTCCCCCCTCCCTTCTCCTCTTTTTTCTTTGCAAAAGAATTAAAAATTCCAGTTCATCCTGGAGGACAATAATTCCATTATGTTTTTTGTTGTGAAACATATTGATTCCAAGTTTATGGCTACCATTATGTTGACTTCTAAAGCCTTCCAATTTGTTACTTTTATATTGTTCTTGATTTCTGTAACTCAGTTTGGGAGTGTTACTAGAAAGTAGAAATTTTAACGCATAAGAGTTATAAAACCTTAAGTGTTTGGGGTTTTGGGTTAAGGTTTAGGGGTTATGGTTACGGGTTAAGGGTTAAGGATTATGGGTTTAGGGGTTAGGGATTTGGTTGCTGCTTGTTCTTGGTCTGCTGCCTGTCCTTCACTGCAGCACTACTCACGTGGTTGTTATGGCAGCTCTTGGTTTCCTTCAGCTGTCCCCTCCTAGTTCAGCTGGTTTTCAGCTCGATTTTGCTGGTTCCTCAGCTTTTCTGCTGGTGGCTTTTCCCTTTCAGCTGGTTTGCGCTGGGTTTCTCTTTGGACATGCATTGATGGTTTCTGCTGCTACTGGTTTTCTCAGCGGTTCCCTCTTGTTTCTCTATGCTTTGGCTCTGCTGGTTTCAGCTGCACCTTCAGCTGGTTTTAATGTTCTCCAGCTGGACTTTCATCTGATTTTCAGCCAGTTTCTCTGTGGCCTGAGCATGCCAACTGTGGCTTCTCACCTTTCTTGTTGTTAAAGCCTTGCTTCTTTGCTTCTTGTAATCATGGCTTTCATCAATGGTATTTCGTTTCATTCAAAAAGAAAAAAGAAAAAGGGTTGGGGATTTGGGTTTATTGTTCTTTTCCTTCTTTTGCTCCACCCCCTCATCATTCTTCTCCTATTTTTCTCCTTTATTTTGTTATGTTTTGGATTTTCATTTTTCGTTATTGTTTTCATGTTTTGCACAACCTACAATTGCATAACATTTCTTTAATTATTTGTGCTTTGTTTGTTTTTCTATTAGATTAATTATGTTTTATTTCATTTTTTTGGATTTTTGGTTTATTGTTAGGGGTTAGGGATTAGGTTTATTGGGAGTAGGATTTGGGATTAGAGATTAGAGATTAGGGATTAGGGATTAGAGATTAGGGATTAGGGATTACGAATTAGGGGTTAGGTATTTGGGTTTATTGTTGTTTTGCTTCTTTTGCTCCTCCTTCATCATTTTTATCCTATTTTTCTCTTTTATTGCTTTTGTTATGTTTTGGATTTTTATTTTTATGTGCGTAACTAATCTATGTGTATTTTGATTTCAGTTGTTAGTGGAATGGACGAGATAAGCTTGAAAATGAAATTTAGGGGCCAAAAGATAAGTATATCTATTTGTGCAAATTTGATTGGCTTTCTTTAACATATGAAATGTGTTTTACACATGACTATTTTTACATCTTCTTGTGTTTCTTAGTTGTTATGATCATTGTTTCTATTATTTTCAATTCTCAACACTCATTCTTACTTTTTGCATTTCATTTTTCGTTATTGTTTTCATGTTTTACACAACCTATAATTACAAAAGATTTCTTTGATTATATGTGCTTTGTTACTTTTTTAGCTTGTCGGTTATAGTTAGGTGTTGGAATTAGGGCTTAGGGAGTAGGGGGTTTGAGATTAGGGATTAGCAATTAGGGCTTTAGAAATTAGGGAAATGGGAAATGTGTTTTGCACATGACTATTTCTACATCTTCTTGTGTTTTTATTTGTTATGATCATTGTTTTCTTATTTTCAATTCCTAACACTCTCATTATTCCATTGTTTGTTTTTCATTATTCGTTATTGTTTCATGTTTTACACAACCAATCATGCATTAGCATTTGTTTTATTAATGTGTTTGTTTGCTTATCTATTAGATTAATTATGTTTTTATTTCCTTTTTTTTGATTGTCGGTTTACAGTTAGGGGTGGGGTGGGGGATTGTGGGGCTAGGAGTAGGGATTTGGGCTATAGAGATAAGGGATTAGGGGTTCGGGATTTGGGT